TTTTTGATATGATGCTGAATTCTATTGGCTAGAATTTTGTTCAGAATTTTTGCATCTACATTCATGAGAGAGATTGGTCTGTAATTGTCTTTTTTTGTGACGTCTTTGCCTGGGTTTGGTATCAGCGTTATGCTGGCTTCATAGAATGAATTTGAAAGTGTTGCATCCTCTTCTATGGTCTGAAATAGCTTGAGTAGTACTGGTACAAGCTCTTCTGTAAATGTTTTGTAGAATTCTCCAGTGAAGCCACCTGGGCCAGGGTTTTTTTGGTTGGGAGTTTTATTACTTTTTCAATCTCTTCTCTTGTTATGGGTCTGTTCAGATTTTCAACATCACTTGAAAGTTTAACACGCTTTAACTGAAGTGAGCAAAAGTAGGGACAAATATTCTAAGGTTCTTTTTATATTTTATCAACTTCTAGGGCAAACTATAATGAGTGATTATAAGACATTTCCTTCATAAGAGGCTGTGAAGAAAACATTTTATTTACTGGTATTGAGTTATGCCTTTAGGCATTTGGTGTTAATTCTAAAATACACAGTATAAGGTGATAATTTGTATAGGTGCACACAAGAATACTGCTAAATATCAAGAATGCAAGAAGTTAGTGTAGATGTTGGATAATGTACTTGAATTTTTTTTTGTGGGCATATCTGAAGCCATTGTGGGTGCACTTAATGTCCAAGTCATTTTCACTGCAGGGGCTTTTCATTGGTTTGTCAGAATGCCAGTCTCCTTGATTCTAAGCTGATGAGAAATAAAAAAGTAGAAAACCCATTCCCATCGAGTTGATACCAACTCAACTATAGGACAGAGTAGAACTGCCCCAGAGGGTTTCGAAGAAGCAGCTGTGGGATTTGATCTGCTGACCTTTTGGTTAGCAACTGAGCTCTTTAACCACTATGCCACCAGGGCTCCGTGCATGAGAGATACGATCCTTGCAAATTAACCTGTGGCTAATTTGGTTATCCTGTATCGAAAAAGTGTAGTGATGATTTAGTGTTCGCCCCGATTACATAACTTGAATCAGATGGTATCTTTTTGGCTCCTAGATACATTTGATGAACAGAAGGAAAAAACCTGGCTTACCTTACTGTGTTAGTTTTCTAGTTCTGCTGTAATACAAATATTACATGTGGGTGGATTTAAAGATCAGAAATTTATTTTCTCAGAGTTCAGGAGGTAGAAGTCCAAGTTCAGAGTATGGCTCTAGGGGGACATCCTTCTTTGTCTAGTTAAGTTTCTATAGCTGGCAATCCTCAGAGTTCCTGGACTTGTAGATTCATCTCCCTCGGGTGTCATGGGAGAGCATCTGTCTTCCCCCTTTTGTCTGTGCTTGCTTGTCTCTATGTCTGTTTAGTGGGCTCTGATTTATGGCGAGCTTATGTATAACAGAATGAAACCATTGCCTAGTCCTATGCCACCTCCGTGACCTTTGATACGTTTGAGCTCATTGTCTGTGCTTATGCTGTTCTTTAGATACTCAGAATTTACTAGATTTAGGGTTCATCTTACATTGGTATGACCTCAATCATTTGATTAAATTAGCTTGCATTATGGAAGGTAATTACATTATATTAGATTATATCCACAGGTATAGGGGGTAGTATTCCAACATATATTTTGGGGAGACTCAGTTCAGTCCATAATACTTAGGTTTCTTTGATAGTAGTGTCCTAAAGTCTTGCTTGGTACATCGTTCATCGTGAAAACCTTAGTAATGTTTTTTAACTAATTGAAGACATTTCTTCCCTGCCAATTGAAATATTAAGGATTAGACTTTCTGGCACAAAATCAAATAAGCATCTAGAATACTTCATCAGACAAGAGTAGGAATAAAATAAAGTATTGCTTATTGTCTTTGCTCTTCTCTGGGGAGTACAGGATAATTTCAAACTTGCAGAAAAGTTGCAAGAATCGTACAGTGAACACTTGCATACCGTTTAGCCAGATTCACCTATTTGCATTTCAACCCGTTTGCTTTTCATAATGCACGTATGTACTTCAGTGTGTATTTCCTAAGAACAAGTATATTCTCTTACACAACTAGTTATCAAACTCAGGAAATACAGTCTTGATTCAGTAATTTAATGTATTAACTGTATTTCAGTTTTGCCGATTTATCTTTGTAGTATTTTCCCCCTCCTGTACAGGATCCTCTCATCATGTATTACATTTTTTGGTCATACGCCTTTAGTCTAGAACAGTTCCACACAGCCTTTCTTTGTCTTTTATGACACTGACAGCCTCACTCCCTTTTGTTTAATAGAATGTTCCTTGCTCCTGATTTTGTGTCTGCCTGACATTTCCTCATGATTACATTTGGGTTACATATTCCCAGCTGTATCCTCAAGATGGCACATCTGTAGGCAGGCATACAGTGTCCATCTGCCCCTTGCTGGTGGTACTAATTAGATCACTGTGATCGTTGAGGTTGTGTGTCAGCTTGGCTGGGCCATGATTCTCAGTGGTTATGATGTAGTTTGGCAGTTGTATGATGATGTGATCACTTCCGTGATGAGATTTGACATAATGTGATCACCTCCATGATGGGATCTGCTGTGAGTAGCCAGTCAGTTGAAGGGGAGTTTCCTTGGGGGTATGGCCTG